GATCACCGTGTTGAGGATCGGTTAAATCGTCGACAACCACGTAGAAATGCCCGAGTCGGAGGACCTTACGCCGACCGACCAGCCCAAAGGTGCGGAAGATGATGTCGAGAAGAGCACGCAGACCAATACAAGAAAGCTGGTGGAGTGCCCGATTTTACACAAGTCCTCAAATCAATTCAAACCACGCATTCCCTTCTCGGGTCGACTTCGGGATGATAGACAAGAAAAACAATTCTAGGACCTTTACAATATGCTCTCTAAGGTCAATGTTAACTTGCCACTTCTTGATGTGATAAAAAATATACAGTCCTAAGTGAAGTTTTTCAAGGATTTGGTGACGAAGAAGAGGAAGTTCGAAGATGGGGAGAAGGTCATGGTATACGAGGTGGCGAGTGCGATGCACCATGACCTACCGAAGAAGGAACGTGATCCCAGGGACTTCGTGATCAAAATATCCCTCGGGAATGGGAAAGAAGCTTTGGGGATGCTTGATCTCAGAGCCGGAATCAACCTCATGCCATTCTCTATTTTTCAGCGTCTCGGTCTCAGGGACTTGAGACCAACTCATATGTGCCTCCAACTTGCTGACCGTTCTATCTGATACCCTAAGGGAGTGGTGGAAGACGTGCTTGTCCGTGTGGGAGAGCTCATTGTTCCCGTAGACTTTGTCATTCTAGATGTGGGACATGTTCACGAAAACAAGAAGGATCACACCATCCTTCTCGGCCGACCATTCATGGCTACCACCAACATTCTCATAGACGTGAAGAACAGGACTCTAAAGATGACGGTCTTGGGCGAGTCCGTGTCTATCTCCGTCCGAGAAGCCACATCCGCATCTTCGGTGAACTTTGTCGAGGAGTGCGCATTTGTTGATGTGACCGATCCTTTCATTGAAGAAGTGACCATACAAGAGTTTGAAGAAAGGAACTTACTCGACCTTGACGATGACGACGAGCCAACATTGATCTATGTGAAGCCTACCAGCCCGCCACACGAACCATTCCCACTTTCGAGCTCAAAAAATTATCTCGTCACCTCAAGTACCTATTCCTCGACGACAAAGAGAAAAAGTCGGTAATCATTTTCGCCGAGCTCACCCGGGAGGAAGAGAGCGAGTTACTTGAGGTGCTTCGGAAGAACCAAAAAGCCATTGGGTAGAGCCTTGGAGACCTCAAAGGCATAATAAGTCCCTCCACATGTATGCACCGGATCATCTTAGAAGAAGGTGCCAAACCCTTTCGGGATAGCCAACGGCGGCGTAACCCGAACATGATGAAAGTTGTGAAGACGTAGGTTCTTAAGCTTTATTCAGAGAGGCTTATCTTCTCGGTTGCCGATAGTGAGCGGGTTAGACCCATCCATATGTGTCAAAGAAAGGAGGCATCACCGTTATTAAGAACGAGAAGAAGGAAATGATCCCCACCCGCATCACTACCGGGTGGAGAATGTGCGTCAACTACCGGCGACTCGACGTCGTGACAAAGAAAGACCATTTCCCGTTGCTGTTCATTGATCAAATCCTCGACCGCCTCTCCGGCCACCAATTCTATTGCTTCTTAGATGGAGTTTCCGGCTACTACCAAGTAGCCATTGCACCCAAGGACCAACCGAAGACCACCTTCACGTGCCCATTCGGCACATTTGCCTTTAGACGCATGCCATTCGGACTTTGCAACGCACCCGGAACCTTCCAAAGGTGCATGTTCGCCATCTTCTCCGATATGCTCGAAGATTGTTTACAGGTATTTATGGATGACTTCTCTATTTTCGGTGATTCATTTTCTCATTGTCTCCATAATTTATCTGGTGTACTTGAACGTAGTATCGAGTCTAATTTGACATTGAGTTGGGAGAAGAGTCACTTCATGGTAAAAAGTGGAGTCGTATTAGGGCATATTGTGTCTAGTCGGGGGATAGAAGTCGATAAATGGAAGGTTAATGTCATTGAAAAATTACCCCCTCCCGTGAATGTGAAAGGTGTTAGGAGTTTCTTAGGTCACGCGGGTTTTTATAGGCAATTCATTAAAGACTTCTCGAAAATTAGCCAACCATTGTGTCACTTGCTTGCTAATGACATGCCATTAGTGTTTGATGATGCATGTTTAGATGCTTTTGCTACATTGAAAAATAAGCTTGTGACCGCGGCTATTGTGATTGCTCCCCATTGGTCTTTACCTTTTGAAATTATGTGTGATGCATCGAATCTTGCAGTTGGAGCCGTCTTGGGCCAACCAGTTGATAAATGACTCCCTATAATTTATTATGCTAGTTTCACTATAAACGGCGCCCAATTGAATTAAACTACTACCGAAAAAGAGCTTCTTGCTGTGATTTTTTCTCTTGAAAAATTTAGGTCTTACATTTTGGGATCTAAAGTGATTATGCATTTCGACAATGCAGCCCGTAGGTATCGTTTGAGCAAAACTCAATCGAAACCTAGGCTTATTCAGTGGATTTTGCTTTTACAAGGATTTGATGTAGAAATCTGGGATAGAAAAGGTTGTAAGAATGTTGTAGCGGATCACTTGTCTCACATTGTTCCTTCCGAGTCTTCACTTGCATTGCATGAGCATGATTGTATAAATGATGATTTTCCATATGAGTAAGCGAGTGAAGTAACTAGTCATCCGTGGTATGTGGACATAGTGAATTATTTATCCGATGGAGTCTTGTTGTCTAACCTCTCTTCCCAAGAGAGAAAGCGATTTGTGTTGATGTGTAGGAGCTATTTTCGGGATGACTCCTACCTTTACAAGATGGGGAAGGATGAAATTCTTCAGAGGTGTGTGCCCGAAGAGGAGCAATCGGATGTGCTTGCCTTTTGCCACGAGCTTCATTGTGGAGGGCACTTTGGGGGTCGAAAAACTGCCTTTAAGGTCCTCTAGTCAGGTTTATTTTGGCCTACTATTTTTAAGGATGCTCATAACTTTAGCAAAACTTGTTACCGTTGTCAAAGGATTCGGAATATCAGTCCTAGAAATGAAATGCCTCTAGTTAGCAATCTTCAAGTCAAAATGTTTGATGTATGGGGCATTGATTTTATGGGACCCTTTCCTAAGTCCTTTGGCTTCTAATATATTCTTCTTGCCGTTGATTATGTTTCCAAGTGGGTCGAGGCTATCCCCGCAAGGACGTGCGACGCTAAAGTGTTAATCAAGTTTTGGCAGGGTAACATTTTGAGTAGGTTTGGATTTCCACGGGCCATCGTGAGTGACGGGGGAAAGAATTTTTGCAACCGAATATTGGAGAAATTGATGACGAAGTATGGCATATCTCATAAGGTGGCGTCCCCATACCATCCACAAAAGGGCCAAGCGGAGACAAGCAATAAACAAATTAAGACGATTCTTGAGAAGACGGTGAACTCGTCCCGGAAGGATTAGTCGAGTTGACTTGACGATGCAGTATGGGCCCTACGGACAGCTTACAAAGAAGTTTTAGGGATGAGCCCGTTTAGGCTCGTCTACGGAAAGGCGTGCCACCTCTCGGTTGAGATTGAGCACAAGGCGTTTTGGGCGATAAAGAAGATGAACTTTGATCTTGACACCGCCAAAAGAGAGCGGATTTTGTAGCTCTCGGAACTTGAGGAATTGAGGAACGAGGCATATGAGAACTCTACGATTTACAAGGATTAGGTCAAACGACTCCATGACGCTCAGATTGTCTGGAAGGAGTTGGTTTTGAGCATGCAAGTTCTCTTCTTCAATTCCCGACTTCGTCTATTTCCGGGAAAGCTCAAGTCCCGGTGGAGTGGCCCATTTGTGATTGGTGAAGTGTTGTCTTTCGGGGCGGTTCGACTTCGGAACCCGTCTACCGGTGAATTATTTGTTGTGAACGAACAAAGGATCAAACCTTACTTTGGAGGGGAAATCGAGAAGAAGCACGTCGAGACCGTGGATCTGGATGAACCACGATATACATGATCGCGGGTGTGCCGAGCTCCCGGTAATAAATCGAGCAACTGTACAGTTGTATTTATATATTAATCATAAAATAAAAAAAGAAAAAAAAAAAGAGAGAAAAGGGGTGAGCAGCAGGTACTAGCGCTGCTAAGGTTGAAAATCCAGCGCCGCTAGATGGGCTAGCGGACATCTGAAGCTCGAGCTATCTTGACCCTAGCGCCGCTAGAGTCTGGGACTGCATAAAAAAAAAAACCGACTTGTTCTTCTCATTTCACACTAACACCCCATCTTTCTCTTCTCTCAGGCAAACATCAACTCCTATCATTCTTCCACAGCGCACGGCCACAATCCATCACCTCCGTTCAAATTCCGACGGACTCCGGTGACACTCTCCAACCTCGAGCCTCTTGATACAGTCCCAATTCGACTGCACTCACATCCCCCGCTCGACCACTACGCTCAACCAAAAATACCACCCCATCCAAACTCCGGCCATCTCACAGTCCGGCGACTCATCACCGACGACCAACTCCAGTCAACCTACTACGGTTAAAATAACCACCAATCATCATCCCTCAGAAATTTAACCACAAACACATTCAAATTCACCCACGTTCAACCGAAACCACCCATCCAACTTCAGTCTGCTCAACTTTCGGCAATCAACTCCAGTGACCACCTCCGGCCAGGTTGCTCCAACTACATACCAGCCGCAATCATTCCCCCCACTATCATCTATCTTTTTGTCCGATAATACTGATAACCCTAGCTCGGGGTGTGTTTCTCATTCCCGACCAAAATTCTGACTAAAAGTACCATAAGTTTCGTCAAATTGTTAGTTGCTGACTTTGGTGGCACGAAGAGGCCTACTCCAGGTTCAGACCATTACAAATTATCCGCAAGCTCTCACGCTTTTAACCCGCACGCCAATTGTTCGACGAATTGTTCCAACAAACCATAATGGTTAAAGCAACGAAAAATTCTAAGAAAAAGGCGGCATCCAAAGCCGGAGCTTCTAGGAGCTCCAAACCCGCCCCCGCTTCCGCGCCACTTACCCTTGCTCAACAACACAACGTTCCATTTCTAATGTTTTCTATGGACGAGGTTACGATGCTTAAACGTCTCAACTCGAAGCCGATCCTGCGTTCCCGCGTGCTCGATTGGACCCTTCTTGAGCAGGTGCACATCAAAGAGGACGTTGAACGTCATTTGGCCCTGCTCGACCTCGATTACTTTGAGGGAATGGCTCAACGGGCATACCCGACTCTCTCTCTCGAGTTTTTCTTTACAGTTCAAATGCACGAAGAAGTGAAGTATCTCACTGCTCGGCTCAAGAGCAAAGAATACAAGATCATCGACAAGATGCTAAATGACATTTCCAGATCGATATTAAGGACCCAAGAGGCAGTCCGGCGGGGTTTAAGGCGGACCCGCATTGGCCACTTTTATCCCCTTGTGCGACATTTAAGGCGACTGGGGCATCTTCAAGTTTCATCTCGGATGTGGTGCTCGGTGTGGTCCACAAGTACATTTGCCATACGATTTTCGGCAAAAAGGAATCGAACAAAGTCAGCAAGCAACAGGTGTTCATTTTATGGTCTTTATCCCAAGGGAAATCGGTGTGCATGCTTCAGTACCTCAAGAGGGCTCTCTTCGACATTCAGAACGATGTGAGGCGTGGGGCAAACCTGGGACACATAGTGGCGGAGATTGCGGCGCATTTCAATGTCCAAAATGACGAACCGTGTATGCCGTCCGAGTGGATCGGGGCTTCAGAACTCTACCATACTGAGTTCATCATGTGTGGCCACATTGTTCCCGTCTACGAGCGGACTTGCTATATCAACTACATAAAGGCGCTGGAGACGGCGGCCACAGTCGCGGCGGCCGCAGCCGCAGGTCCGTCCCACACGACGGCGGGGACGTCCGGTGCCCCATCTCAGACACCAATCCAATCTGCCGCCGACGAGGGTACAACCGCCAATGATGAGCCTCATCAGGAGTCCTCTCAGCTTTCGCCTCCGATGCCAAGGCATACCGATGCTTATTCCGACGCGGCTCCTGTCTGGTTTTCCGAGTATGATGCTCGCTTGACGGCTTTCACCGAGCAGAACGACGCACGTTGGACGTCGTACGTAGAGTCCAACGACGTGCATTGGACAGAGCAGACCAGACGGTGGAATGAGTTTGTGCGGGACAATGCGGCACACTGAACCGCTCACGACAGTCGATGGGACACCTGGGCGGAGCGGTAGTACCAGCAGTGGACCACTTGGGATACCCGTTTCAGCCAGTGGGACACCCGTTGGAGTTCGGGCAGCGGCGACCCTCCACAGCCACCACCATCGGATGCACAGTGACTTCTCATTGTGCTTTGTACGTTTCTCTTTTTCTTTTTCTCTTTTGTTATGTATAGTTTGGTTCATTTTCGAGTCGACTGATTTTTTGGTTTGACTCTCTTGTACTTCGGATCGACAATGGGGACATTGTCTAATTCTAAGTGTGGGGGATTTTTTACGTGATTACGTGGCTATGTGATTGACCAGGTCTAGTTTTTTATTTTTAGGACTGCTTTTATTTCTTTTCTTTTCCTTAGCGGACCAGTCTAGTTTGTAGGATTATGTGTTGTCTTTCTGAGCTGGGACTGTGGTGTATGGTAAGATTAGTTGATAATTGATTGATGGAGTTAAAAAGTTGTCATGATGAGCATGAGAGTCACATCTCGATGAAGCGCTTGGTTATTTTGATTTACTTCATCTTCCTTGTGAGACTTGAGTCATACTCATTTCTTTTCTGTGAGATGTTAGTCTGAATAATATTCGATTAGAATTTCCTTGAGTCTGCTGTGAAATGAATTGATTGAATTTGGGAAATGTGAAAATGATTGAGGCATTCCTTGTATGTTCTTTCCCTTTCTCTTTTCTCGTAAATAATTTCACTAGTCACCCCCCTTGAGCCTTATCGATTTTCTTTCTTTTATAACCTCGTGACGTTAATATGGTGGAGTTGCGGGCAGAGAATTGGATGTGATTGGTGTTGATGTGTGCATATATATATATATATATAATGTAACGAAACCGAAGGGAATATAGCCGAATGGATTAGTAAAAAAATATCCAATTGGTTCAATAAAAAAAAAAATGTGTGAATAAGGTGAGTTGCGTGTTGGCTTGTGGGGAAATGAGAGGAAAAGGTTGGTGTGTAACAACCGGAAGAGCTCATTATAATGGTTATGTGAGTGAATTGAGTTGATTATATTTTTATTGAGCCACTTAGCCTATATTTATCCTACCCGATCCAAAAAGCCTACGTTGCATCCCAATAAGTCCTCTTGATTCACTATTTCATTAATTTGATTGTTTTAGAGTAATAGTTAGATGATAGGCGAATTTATGATTGATGTGATTGACGACCAACTTGAGCGCACCTATCCTATATTTGCGAAAGAAACTGAGTGAGGCATATGATATATATCTTCGTACTCGAGAGTCCTTGTCGTCGAAATAGCCAAGTTAATAGTTGAGGTGTGCTTTTGTGATCATTGGAATTCTTGTCGATTTGACTGATTAGTTTGAGATTAGTCTTGCTTGAACCGTTGTCCTTGCTCATTTGTTTCTTTTCTTTTCTTTTCTTTTATTTTCTTTTTGTTCGGGACGAACAAAGGTCTTAGTGTGGAAGAATTGTTTGTCCTATTTTTGTTGTTATTTTTGTTGGTTTTCCCCCCATTTTAGGTCGTTTCTTAGGATTTCTTGGTCCCTTTAGTGGTTTCTTGTATTTTCATTGTTATTTTGGTATGTTTGTTATTTTTGTTATTTTTTCTTCCTATTTTTCTTTTTTTTCGTGTTTTTCTGGTTGTGGTGGTTACAGGCTTTTAACGATTCTGTTTCGGTTCTGAGGATTTCTATCCCGTTTCGTGCGACCAAACGCTCGAGAGTCGAGTTTCAGCTCGGGCAGAACCCGAGAAGTGCCAGTCGAGACTAAGCGAGAGAAAAAGGAAATTTTTTGTTGCTGCTCAGACTCTAGCGCCGCTAGGGTCCCTTGTCCAGCGCCGCTAAGAGGGCTAGTGGACTTCTGAAGCTCGGGCCATTTGCACCCTAGCACCGCTAGACCCCCTTAGTGCCGCTAGAACCCCCTTAGCGGCGCTAGACCCTGTTTTTGAAAAGTGGGATTTTCTCGATTTTGCCGAATGCTGGGGAGAAGTCCTCGTGAGTGGAGCATCTTTGGCCGACCATCTGCCTTGTAAACTAATTTTTTCACCCCCTAGAAGAGATTCTTGACCATTCTCTACCATACTACTTCACTTCTTCCATTTTTTTTTCTCTTTACTCTTCTCTTGGTTTTTCTTTGGTTTTTCATGTTTGAACAAGAAACACTTGGAGAATTTTGGCATTTGGACTTGGTTTGTACTTGCTTTTGACATTGGATTGCACATTAATAGTAAGTTCTCTTTCTTTTCATTGTGTTTGTGATGAAAATGATGGCTTTAATTAATGTGAATGCTTGTGTTGAGATGACAATGCATGGCTAATCCATTTGCTAGGGGTAGAGGGTAATCGTCCGGTTCGTTCCCGTTTATATGCATGTTGATAGCTCAATCTTTATGAGTTTGATTAATCCTAGGGGTAGATGCTTGATCGCCATTTTAACCTTGTTAATCGATTTTATAATCGAGAGGGGAGAAATCGGTGGAACTCGGCTCATTGAGAGTAGGCATGTTCGGAGACGTAGTGTCTATGTGTTGATTGTTTCATTGATTCGCTCGTTTATGTTTATTCGCATGTTACGAAGAGTTATTGAGTTTAAACTGCTAAAATTAGTCGAACCTTTTAACCGAGTTGTTGATTGCCGTTAAATGCGTTTAGAACCGAAAGCGATTATCCCCGACACCCTAGCCGGTTTATATATTCTTGTATTGCATTTGCGAGTTGCGATATTTAAATAGCTTTATTTTACGAGTCATTAGTTGATAATCAAAAACCGACAAATCGAATTAGTATGTTTAGGACTATTTTCTCTTTCGTGATTGAATAAACGTACAATTTAATCCGGCTAACCTTCCTTGAGAACACGACCCGGTGTTCGAATCTTTCAATTCTACTCTGGTAAAATATGTCTACAACAATACCAGAGTCAAAATTTTGCTCGCCTGTCAACCGCATTTCAGATCCAGGGCATATGTCCTGTATATTTTCGGTATATGCTGCCACTTCTACCATCTCTTCAGCCACGTTCCTCTCAAACGACATGAGACTTATCATCCCATCTGATCTATCAAGATATCTGTCAAGATACGGATAACACAGTGGAGCAATGTTTGATTCGCAATTCAAAGAACCTATATTCACTTCTTCATCACACGAACAATACTCCGAGATTTCACCACAACGCACACCGGATATTTTGTGTAGTCAGCTTCTTTAGACATCAAATACACATAGAAGCTAAGGCTGCTATCGCTATCTATCTTCATTAGTGGACAACCTTCCTACAGCTTATATTTTAGGTCAAGCACAGATGATTGATGTATCAACCCGAGCTTCTCACACAATATACCACATAATTTGTTGAAGCTACCTTCTTTTTGAACCACAACACCAGAAAGTTGGTAATTCATGTAATCATTCACGACCCATCACCCCCATGATGTATGAAGATCATCATATTCGGATCCATTTGGAGAAAAAANAAAAAACGTGGACATGAGAACATAGATATACCATCTGTACGAAAAAATCAAAATCTTCTAAGAATTCATTAAGGTTAATATCACAAGATATACATCCAAATCTTTGTCCATTATACTATATCTCTCGTTCTTCAGTGTTTGTTGCATGATGAGTTCCCACAAAAAATCCGATCACGGCCGCACGTTTATTTTTTTATTTTTTTCTGTTAATGAAGCTCGTGTTTTCAGAAAAACCTCATCGCCGACGTGTTTTCTTTCTCTTTTCCGTCTATTTCAACAATGATTATGAATTCAAATCAAATTCAAATATAATATCTTTTCCATATTGAATCCTGAAATTGTGTGGTACAAATATGGAATGGTTGTTCACCTTACCCATAACTGTTTTTAGGCATGTATATAATTACTTTTTATCTCTTAGGTATATGCACAAATTAATTGGTTTGAATGGTAATATTGCAATTACTTAAAAAACGGTAAGCAAACATAAAAATTTCTCTTTAAATAATAGACCGACAAAAATCATAAAAAAAAACAAATGCCCCATCCTTCTTATAGAAAATTCTTGCATCAACATTAAACTCAAGGGCCATATTTTTATAATTGATACATTGGAAACTTCAACCCATTAAGGCTGAAGAAAACCTTATCTCATTAGAGCATGTACAATGCTTTGGGTTTAGTTTTGCTTACATGGCATGTAAATAGACAAGTCTTACATAACATGTAAAAAAATATAAAGAAGTAATGAAATGAACTCCAGTGCGAAGAGGCTTGGTATCTACTTGGGTCTAAAACAGACTCAAGAGTAGACAAAGTCTCATTTTGTTGCTGCCACATGAGCACGAGTCAGTCCAATTGCATTCCCATTGGAGTATATATTTTTCTAAACTAAGTCTATTTCCTACGTGGCATATATATTTTTTTTAAAGAACCCAAAACATTGCGGATTCTCACAGTTATCTAATGGGTTTTTATTAGAGATGTTAAACGATCTAGTCCTAACGGTTTTGGGCTAGCCCTAGCGGGCTTCGGATTAAACGGTTCGGGCCTAAAAAGCCCGAATTTAAACGGGCTACCAATAAAAGGACCTAACCCTAAACCTAGCGGGCTTCGGGCTAAACGTGCTATACGGGCTATAATAATAATAGTAATAATGATAATAATAATAATGATAATAATAATAATAATAATAATAATAATAATAATAATAAATAAAAAGTTACGTAATAATAATAATAAATAAAAAATTACAATACCTAGTGAACGGTTTTTTTCAATGGTTATTTAGTATTTAATAAAAATAAAAAATTTGTTAATAATTATGTATCAAAATAATTAATAATACATTACAACTCATAATTACATATGAAGTAGAATAGCAAAATTGTATTACCTTTTTAAAAACATATACATGTATCAAAATAATTAATAATACATTACAACTCATAATTACATATGAAGTAGAATAGCAAAATTGTATTACCTTTTTAAAAAACATATACACCATCCAACCCAAGTTAAACG